GTGTGGGTGTGGGTGTGGGTGTGTGGGTGTGGGTGTGGGTGTGTGGGTGTGGGTGTGTGGGTGTGGGTGTGTGGGTGTGGGTGTGTGGGTGTGGGTGTGGGTGTGTGGGTGTGGGTGTGAATGAAAGCAAGGCTAACGCTCACACCCTCACCTACACCCACCCACACCCACACCCACACCCACATCCACATCCACACCCACACCCACACCCACGCCCCACATCCACACCCACACCCACCCACACACACCCCACAGACACCCACACCCTTATTGTTGAATATATGTTAAATCGAATTGATCGATTTCGTGATGAAAAGTAGATCGAAGTTCAAGAGAAGAAAGAGAACGATAACTCGTGTATAGCTGAGTAGCTAAGAGCGTATATGACGCGACACAGGTTCAAGTCCTGAATGAGGCATGTAATTTTTTTCGTTCTGTTTCGTCTTTTTTCCATTGAATTTTGGCAAATTTTCTTTTGCTTATTGTCAGAGGTACCTTCTCGAGATCTCAACGGCGAAGGGGGTATCGACCATGCTGATTCAGAATCTTCAACTTTTTTTCACCGAAAATATTTTCTTCGCAACCTCTCTGGGGTGATATGTAAAGAACACATTGATGACAGAAATATTTGCTTTTTTTTGCCTTCGCATTCTCTTTCTTTCATATCTATCTCTGTGTAATTGTGCACTACAACAAGTTGCCTTCGCATTCTCTTTCTTTCATATCTTTCTCTCTGTAATTGCGCACTATAATAAGAAAACGTAGACTATTGAAGAAGTGGATCAGCCTTGCATTAAACTCAACCCATGGAGTTAAAAAATCAAAAACATAGCATTAAAATGATGGAATGGACAAAAAATTGATGCTTTTCAAATTCATTGATTAAAATGAACATTTGCATGAATTTCATTGTATGATTTTGATTAAGAATCTAATTTATTGCATTTTCTTGATGAAAATGTCGCTTGTCATGAATGAATTTGAAAAACAGCGATTTTTTTGTCCGTTCCATCGTCGAAAATGGCATTTTTTCCGTGTTTGTCACATAAAATTCATGTAAGCCACACCATTTTTTTGATTTTTTGACTTCATTGGTAGTAAGGAAATAAAGCGCCATTTAATTTCAAATTAGATTTTTTACTTTGTGGGTAAATATTTATCGAAGAGATGAAGTAGGCTGTCTTTCTGTTTTATATTCAGTACTTTTTTCACTTTTACACCATTAGTTGCTATTACTGAGCGTATAGAAATTTTGTTGGAAAGATGTCAGGAATTACACCAAGAGACAGACACACAAAAAGAGGAACTTCCTTGTCGATTTCATTTTGATCTCTATTGTAATTTTTGGGGCAGTCAGTTGATTGCGGTACTAGACTTTGGTGCTAGGTGCGGCTATGTGCTGGAAGAGAGGGTGTAGCTCTTATCTTTATCAGTATTGATGCCCACATCAATTCACCCATGCCACCCTTTAAAGTAGCGCCAAGTTAGCACCTGGTTTCATTATAATACTTGCCTGTTTGTCCTAATGCTGTTATATGAAGCTTGGTAAGAGAATTGAAGTAGTTTATTGAAGTAATGATTACTCTTATTCAGTAGGAAGTTCAAATCCGAAACGTGACCCAAAATCCAAGTCCCTAAACCAAATGCCATCCAAAAGCCAAAATCACATCCAAAACTCAAATCCCAACACCTCAAAGTGTTGGGCTACTTTCTGTATTAGTCGATTCCTAACTTGCACCGGCACATTCACATCCGTTTATTATTTTCGATCAAAACGTTTATCATTCATCGTTGTAGGGTATATTAGATTCAAGAGTAAATATTTCTATTCCTTGAAGTTTTAAATTACATTACAGATGAAAGCACAGATGAATATACTATTACATCCTATTCAAAGTTCCTTGTGTGTACGTGGGCGAATGAGCATCTTGATTTCATCCGCTCAGCTATTTTTCTTGTCACCTACTCACCGAGCTAACAAATCATCCACCTACTCACGATCCTACTTGTGCCCGTCCACCATATAGAATGATCGAACCCAGAACCATGTACGCTTTGAGATCTGCCTCTACACACACCCCACCCTCGCGAGAACCTTTTTTTATGTATCCTGAAGTAGTCCTTTAAAATGTGCTCGAATATGTAAATAAAATATCTCAGTGAAGACTGGTGTAGTGCAACTTAAATTTTTTTGATGGTTGATCTATTATGATTCACGCTTGTAGGAAAGCATTGGAGAAATGCCACGAGCAAACAAGGATATCCTGCGGGATCTGTGCGCTTATAATCCAAGACCTGTGATTCAAGAGCAAGATTTCAAGCCCAGTTCTTCGCGACAACAAGCCGATATTCTGCGAGACCTGTGCGCTTATAATCCAAGACCAGTGATTCAAGAGCCAGATTCTAAGCTCATTTCTTCAGGACACACAATTCACTCAGACCCAGTTGTAAACTTTGATCGGCGGCAAACACATCCACCGAAAGGTAATAAGTTAAGTGGTTTGTCCAAACGTAACCGCGTTAGGTTTTTGGAACACTTTTTTCAATTATATCAGTAAGTTTGAAAGCTAGAAAGCTCGTTCAAACGCTATTCGATGCAGCTTGTCATACTCCACTCATTCTATAAAAGTGACTTTTTTCGACGAAAGTCTCGGGCTTTTAGGAAGGCTTTATCATAGCAAAATGGTGTTACATAAAAATACCCTTTTTCTCCAAACTGTATCGCTCAGATAAAAATTCGAAAAATAAACGCAATGGTGTCACACTGTTTTTGACAATCAATTTTGAGGGACTCAACGTGTTCAAAAATATTTTATTTTCATTAATATTGGTCTTTGCCTTGCATATAGTCGTTCTACGCAAGAACCAAATTGCTGGGTGAAAATGGAAGCTCATTAACTGTACAGTTAGTTAGAAGCTGTACAAGAATGTACGAGTTTTTCTTAGCGACGAAAATCAAAAACAAATAGACCATTTTGTAGAGAATTGAATTCTGCATCCAATGGTATGTCATTCAGCATTTTTTGAAAAAAATTCTAAGCTAGATTTCAAAACACGGTTTTTGAAAAGTTTAAAGCAAAATTTTCAATACTCAAATCCAATTTCTTTCAAGAAAGATGCCAAATTCGTGATCAGCGTAAAACACTACATCTAATAATATAATCAGGTCTGCGTATCTTGAAAGTAAATTTTTATGGAACTTACATATATTTTCGAAGAAAACAGTGAATGTAAGTTTTAAGGCGACGTTATGCGGCTTTCCATTCTTCCCCATTACAGATCGTATCAACGAGCGGCCCCGATTAAAAAGCCTCCAATTATAGACACCTTCCACTACAGACTTCAGTAACTTAGGATAAGGGTGTGGGTGTGTGTGGGTTTTTGTTCACAGAAACAGCACATCCACACACAGAAATCGCACATCCACCTATATGCAGATCCATACACCCACATCTACACTCACATCCTACTGTGTGCGCAACAGAATAAGATGGGCTAAAGTCTCAATAGCTATAGATTGCAAATTGGTAACTATTTGAACAATGTCAAGGGCTGCCACAGGCGTATCTCGAGTCTTGATATTGATTAGTTAATGGCTGAAATGCGCTCTTTGACTCCATTCAAGTTTTCTTGCACTTTGCGCGACATTGGATGAGAAGCTACCATAAAAATAATCTTCTGCTACCGACTCTTATTAGTTGATATGAATAGCGGTAGTTCTTTACTATCTCACATATTTCTGGGTTTCTTGGAGAAAACAATGGAAGAAACTTAATACTGAAGTTTCCATAACGAAATTTTCCGATTTGCAGTTCAGAATAAAAGAAATATCAGCCATCATCATAAAAAGCTTGAATCGTGTTATTACCTCACTTTTGTCACCAGATCCATTCAGATTTGTTACATTTTATCCGTATTTAGCTCTACCAACTGATATAAGCCAGTGGAGCGTTGACGACGTTTGCCAATGGGTAAGCTCTCTGCGGCAGATTAATATAGATTATTCTAAAAATTTTCGTATGCACGATATCGACGGTGATCTTTTATTAACGTCGGTCGACGATGCAATACTGAAAGAAGATATAGGTGTGGCAACTCTTTTACATCGACGATTAATTTTAAAAGGCATTGATGAATTAAAAAATAAATGTTCTTCGGATTTGCCAGTAGCAACATCAGCACCAAAAGACAAGAAAAAACATTATGATAAACAATTCGAAGGTGATTTTACTCCGTTATTGCCTCTAAATGAAGTAATCTTGCGTAAAACATATCAGAATGTGTCTAGCTGTGAGCTATCAGACAAACGGCATCGTGCTATTGTGTCACGTATTTACAACTGGCTTGGAAGCTTACCCTCAAAATATAAAATTGATAAAATTGAATATGTATTTAATTCCAACCGTTATCGAATATTTCTCGGACAAATAGAGATCGTAGAGAATCGTCAACAACAGCAAGCATTTCAGTCAAACCTCAACAGTGAAAATTCTCAAGTACAACGTAAACTGGCGTTGAAACGTCTTGAGATGATATGTCAACAAGTTGCACATAACCGTAATCTCCCCATTGCACGTATGTGGCACGGATGCCGTAGAAATGATTTAAAACATATTCTATCAGATGGATTTGCTGCGCTCAGCACATTAGATGATGGGTATTTTGGTAAGGGGATTTACTTCTCATCATCAGCTAAATACGTAACGCGATACTGTGGTGAAAGTGGTGGCTGCTTGATTATGTGCTACGTGCTCATATCAAATCCGTTCCCAGTTGTTGCATCTGATGCACCACCTTCTGAACCGCCTGAACGTTTCCGCTTGTATGGAAGAGGCAATTATAAGAATTATCAGTGCCATTACATACCTATTTCGCCTGCTGACAATGGAGACCCATGGGATTTTCGACCACCATCTTCGGGTATTACAGATGATGCTTTATACGATGAACTTGTCGTTTTTCAAGAAGCCTACATTCTTCCACAAATCATAATACATTTCAAATAAAATACAGGGGACTTCAGTCTCAAATAACATCTTATAAGTGGAGTGGATAGCTGCAAAGGAGTGAAGATAACCTAGAGAATGAGTGCCTAGATCCAAAGTGCAACCACTAAGATTTTCTATTACCGGGTGTGGGTTGTGGGCGTGAGAGTGTCGGTGTGGGGATGTTGATGTGGGCGTGCACTGTAAAAAAGAAAAGGTAGAATAATAAACCCTTTAAGGGTTTATGAAAGTACAACGTAGACTAAACCCTTTTTACCGTATGTCAAAATTTCTATATACCTTTCACATACCCTTCAGGAGGGTATATGAAAGGGTATTTAATTTTCATATACCCTTCCAAATATCTCTACTAAGGGTATATGAAAGAGTATTTGATTTTCATAAACCCTTAACGGGTTTAGTCTACGTTGCACTTTCATAAACCCTTATAAGGGTATTTGATTTCTATATACCCGTTCATATACCCTCCCGAAGGGTATATGAAAGGGTATTTAGTTTTCACATTTCCTTTTAAATACCTCTACTAAGGGTATATGAAAGGGTATTTGATTTTCATATACCCTTTCAAATATCCTTATAAAGAGTATATCAAAAAAAGTATTTGATTTTCATAAATCCTTGTAAGGGTTTATTGTACGTTGCACTTTCGCAAACCCCTTCAAGTACCCTTAGAAAGAGTATATGACAGGGTACTTGATATTTATAAACTCTTTTGAAGAATTTGATGCAAGCTTAATGAAAGCAACAAGTCTTTGCATGAACCACCAAAGTGGGTTTATGAAAAGATTTGTTCATAGGTGGATCGATCTCACAAAAATTTTTGCACTTTCTTTCGTGTTGACAGGAAAATATACGAAGATCCGATTTTCTAAGACATCAGTAAGATATAAGGTACAGCGCCAGAAGAATTTTTCAGATTTGTCGTATTTTACGCTTTTGCTGGAAACATTCATTTCAATATAGCAATTCAATGAGAGATTCTCTATGGATTCATATGAAATCTTATGCAGAACAAGTCAAAAAATTTCAAAGGTTTAAAAGAATTAGTAATGAATAGTTCATAAAGAATCGTCATAATAGTAATTTTGGAAATTTACCGAACTAGATAGATTTGATATGGCTAGGTCTTTTTGCTGAAACATTTCTCAGAATTACCTCTAGAAAAGTAGTGTATTTTTTTATTAGGATACGTATTTTGTAAGGCAGTTTAACACTTAAAATAGTCCAGAGATGTTATCGAACGTAAAACACAAAATCTAATTTTTATCATCATACTATGTTGTGCTTTCTTGGTGGAACTTTAATGTACTCATGTTAAACAATACTTTCAAGTCATTATGCGAGCTGGCGCTTCTAAATATTATTTTTACGAAAAGCTAAGACAAACAAAAAGTAAAAAACATTTCCTTGAAGTGGTTTCATTCAAACTTGAGAAACCGATCACAAGTAATAATATAGGCTATATGACATTACTGAAATTTTTTCATCTAATATCATATAATGATTATTACAGATAACACATGGTCGAGCAAAATATACGTATTGGGACGTAAAACTACTCTTTCCAAGTGCATCTTGTGAGAAATAACTCTTAAAAGCAAAAAAGTAATCTCAAACCGATTCATTTCAGTGGTCGTAAATGTTCAACAAACTAGTGCTCTATTAAATCGATATGAATAACAGAAATCTATACTTACTCTATCGCCACGTTTTTCATCACAAACTAATAAGCCATAATAAAAACAGAAATAATGGTTACCATAAGTAAAACACCTACTGCTTGAATCAAAATTAATAATCACCCGTTAACCATGTTCGAAAACACCCACTAGATAAACACGATATGATAAATGCAGCTCGATGTATGAATAAACTATCAACTTCACAAAAAACTGTCTTCGCCATTACCTATGTTGTTCATCACTAGTTGAAAAAAATATTTACACGATTGTAGATTATTAATAATACATCATTTATCAAACATAATCTATACTCACCGCCTGATCATGTTCCATATCAACCACTAGAAAAAGATGAAAATACATTCATATCAATATATCATCTATCGACACATTCATCTTCATTTGAGGACAATCTTGTTGGACAGTTGCAGAATAAAAACCAAATATTTAAAAAACTACAGATTCACACGTATAAATAATTTATTGAATTATCTAAATTAATGTTTTGACGATCTGTCTGATCCGACACTAGATAGCAATAAAACAAAAATGAATGTTCGTTAACATAAGTTAACCAATCATTTATTGAACAGTGTTGAGCCATCGGTAATAAATTTATGAGGACCAGTACCTAGAACAGAGAAAAAGATATATGCAGATTCATACAAATAAATTAAATATTCACCTCACCTAAAGACTAACATATATAAGTATATGCCGTTGATCACCAACGGAATAAAAAGCCATTTAATAGATTGTCAAATATGGGTGTGGGTGTGGGTGTGGGTGTGGGTGTGGGTGTGGGGGTGGGTGTGGGTGTGGGGGGGG